TAAGTAAACAAAGCTTATCTGTAAAATAGAATTATTGCTAAATGTAGTTCAAAGTATCAATAGAAATTGTGTGTTCCATTTGGTCTTTCATTCACTAAGCACATTGATCTTTGAAAGCATGATTCTGACTAATGAGCTGTGTTAAGTGGCTCTTGGATTTTTGTTTTGTTGCTGTGTGAAAGATCGGGGCTCACAGAAGCTGATGAAAGAAACAAAAGCTTCAGTGCTTCTGCACTCAGATGTCAGCCTCTCAACCTAATCTCTGGAACAATTCTCCGTTTATTTATTTACTTAAAGACTACAAATCCTATTTAAGAGCTTGCCTGAAGTAGGTTGTGTCATCTCAAATGGAAGAAGAATCAGGGATGCAGAGTTCCCAAATGGGGGGGGTCTCTATAAAATATTCTTTGAAAATACTCAGAAAAATACCAATAAAGGCTGCAGCACTTCCAGCCATTCACCTATTAAATCAAACAGTGCATCATTTACTTGTTCTAAGAAAGCAAAAAGCACATGAAGTTGCAGAAACCATTCCTTCAGCTTTTCTTGGAACTTTCACTGAAAACAGTTGTGGTTATGTTTTACCAATTTAACTGGGTCCATCCAGGTATTGAAAAATAAATACAATAATTCACATTTCAAAAGAGATCACAAAATATAGTTTTCTTCCAAAACTAGGGGCATGTACCACTTTCAAGATTGAGTATCAACAATGGTTCTTACAACAAACCATACAGCTCACTGTAGAACAGGCACCCTTTTTTCAAAAGGTTTCCAGACACTTTGTATATTTGCCTGAATAAAATTAATTTTTTTTAAAACAGTCTTTTGTTGCTTGGCAGAACAGAGGCGTTATTTAAAAGCAAGGTGAATGCAGCAGACACACAGAGAAGCAGCAGCTCCATCACAGGACAAGTCAGTGAATGTTTTGACGTGAAATCTGAATTCAGTGACTTGTTGATGCAGTCTGATGGCAAATAAACAGCTTAAGAGGCAACTTGGGAACACAATATGAGTTTTCCTGCCCACCTGAAAGGCAAAGTTACACTTCCTTTCACTCCAGTCTCGGCTTTCTTCGACTGCAAGAGTCGTAACTTCCCCTTTGTCCCGGGGAATATGGAAGAGCTGTTTAGCTTGTATTTTTGGCAGTGCTCCTCTTCAAAAAAAATCACTCAGCACACATTGATTGCGCTCAACAAAAATCAAGGCGAAGCTTTGTAAATCCCTGGAAATGTTCCACTCGGAGTCTCTAAAGCCGCTTGCTTTGGGAATGATGAACAAATTGTCTTACAACAGCCTACGCTGTGCACACGGTTGGCAGGGAGGGTTTTTAATCTCCTCAGCTGAAGACAGTGGTTGCATCCTTTTAGCTCCAATAAAAATACTAGAACTCCAATTATTCCTTGATAGGAAATTTCCAATTTCAAGCCACATCTGTTTAAAATTTCTTTTTCCTAATCCATTCAAGAACTGTTATCACAACGCTACAAAGAGCGACGGAAAAAGTCATTCAGTGTTTTGCAATGAAAAACAAACAAAAAAACCCACACAAAACCCAAGGAATGAAGGAGAAACTGCTAAACACAAGGAAATAAATGCAATTCAGCACAAATTGGGGAACACAGCAGCCTTGAACACATAGCACTTCACACACACCAATTTCTCATTAACAATCATAAAACTACGTCAGAACAAAGACTTGCCACAATAGTTTTCTTTTAGAGGTCAAAAATTAAGTTGTGAGCGATCTATTATATTTATTTATTTCCACACTGGTTGCCTGCTGGGAATGAGTGTGTAGCAGGTGCAATCATATTTTTAACCCTTTCCCAAACCACTGGTGATGGAACAGAAGTGTTCTGTCAACTTCCAAGTGAATGTCCCTGAGGAGCTGCAGCTGCCCAGCCCCAGCCCAGCTCAATTCTCTGGGCTCCTGTGAGCATTAATTACACTCTGTCGTTTCACCCGGTTCATGGCCCTGTTTTCTTCATACTGCAAGACAGAGAAGGAAATTAATAGATCAGCTGCCATCATTAGACAGATGTGTCAAATATAAAAGTGTTTATTACCCAGGAACAGAAATAATATATTCAACTGATGCATTAGACAGACAGCTCTTGGTAATATCTACATATAGGTTCATTTTTACTTTGAAATTTACATTTACTCCATTAAAATACACGTTTCCAAGTTTGAGGTTATTAACCTAAAGAGTATTAGAATATTTTAATAAAGAAGATTCAGTTAATCTTAAGAAGGAACTTAATTATACAGCGATTTTACATCTGACACTTCACACGTGCACTGGGCAAAAAGTTGCCCTGGTGCTACTTTAGAGCACAGGTCAGGCTCTTTTCCTCTTAAAATACTGATTAATGTGTGTCTGCCTTCTGAAGCATGGATTTGTCATCAGACTTGGGCTACTTTTGATCCTGGACATCAATTAAACACACAGATAAAGAGTATACCAAGATGAAAGGAACAAAGGCAAATTTGGGTTGAACGAGGGAAGGCATTTGAGGGGTTTTTTTTAATGGTTTAAACAAGAAGCACAACAGAGACAGGGCTCCAGGATTCCACTTAAAATGTAAAATGGAATCAAGAAAGCTTTCACAGTTTAGATATATGTGTAAGACCACCATGCTTTCAAGTCTGCCCCTGCACTAGCAGAAGCTTGGAAGAGCCTTTCTTTCATTGCAACCAAAAAGGAAACATTTTCATGGCTAAAAGAAATGAAAAATTAAAAATCAATGCACGACTTGATATATATTTCATGAGAAGCAAATTATTCTTGTCCTTAAGTTAGAGCATATATTTGTTCAATTTTTTAATAACCAGTATCATGACTAAAACCCAAGAAACCCACAAATGCCCAATTCTCTATATAATGTAATAAACTACTAAGGAAATTGATTTTGGAAAGGATTTGCAGTTTTTCATCCATTATACTGATTGGTCTATAACTGAGATAATGACCTGAAACATTACTTAACATTTACAGAATGCTTAACTTTTTCCCATGCCAATATTTAATTTTTCAATAACTCACCCATGATTTTATGTAGAATGAGAACAATGGATCTTTAAAAGCTACATTTACAAAGCTACATTCAATACTCGTGAACAGCCTTTCAGGGGCTTCCTAGTAATGGCATATCAATGTAGCCACATTTTAAGAAGGCAGACAAATACACTCATCAAGAACCCCTTTAATGTAAAGGTTTCAATGGAAGAAAAATAAGATTAATAAGATTACACGGAAAGAAACTTTTTACAATTGTGAAATTTATGTCAAAATCAGAAAGTGCAATTTCAAGTGAAGAGGTGTGTGAAAAGTTCATTTCTGCCTTCTGTCATGTAGGCCTGACAACCATGAATGTAAAGATCAGTTGACACTCTTCTGAAAACCTGCCCATTGAGACAGTAAATCCACTTAAACTCCTGGAATCTTCATTTTTTCATATCTGCAGACGTAGTACAGCAGTATTTTCATCCAGGGTCTAACTCAGCAACTCATTAAGTATTTTCAGTCAATACAAGTGACTTCAGTTGCAAACGTTACTCATACAGAAGTGACCATTACTGCTTCATATCCTACTCTGTGCAAATACCACTACTAAAAAAAAAAATTCAGAAAAAGCTCAGAAGCAATCTGTGAAGTGGCAGTTCCTGTCTGCAGCATTTGTTTTGGTAAAACATGTGTTTGCCTATTTTCGTGTATCAAAAAATACACCACTCCATTTGTCAAAGCCAGATTTTACTTGACAAATTTATCAAAAGAAGTTTAAATTTGGTCTGAAATGCCCACAGCAGAACGTGGTTACTTTTATTGATTTGTGCTACTTTGTAAAAAGCAACTCAAGTCCTGTCCTGTTTTTTATTAAACATTAAACTCACTGTATATTTATTTCTTACCTCTTTTCTTAAGCACTTCCTCATCTCACGGTCGATGTCGTTGCAGTGGCCAAAAAATTTCAAGATGTTGTGCTGATGAGTTAGGGAGAAAAACAAAATGACAGTTCAAAGGTTTCTTCTTCTGAAGCTCTAAATTTCTTGCATTTTTCAACGTATCCTGGTCTTCTTTTGCTTTCCTTTTTTTTGTGAAAAGTGATGCTTGGTAACTTTTTCCCTGAGTAGCCAGAAATTCAGAGCTAATCCTGACCCTCACTTGAGCCAGCCCCACCTTGGTAAAGGTTGAAGGTACTGCCCATGTTGTACAACCAGACTAAACAAGGGCTCAAGTTATTAAGTCTAAATGTAGAACATACATTTTATGGATCTAGAAGTCAGTCTTACAACTCTCACTCACACTGCCTTGAATAATGGACCAAAAATAAATATTCTGAACTCCAGGTTGTGATAAAAATGCAACGTCCTCCCTGCTTTGGTTTTTATTATTTCTTCATGATTAGGGAGTCAAAGGACTTCCTGCTCCATCATCCCAACCACATGAGGGATGTGTTGTTATTCCAGAAATTGCAGACATTGGGCTTAATTGACTGCAGAAATTGTAGGCATTGGGCTTAATTGACTGAAACATTAGAATCAGTATAAAAAAATGGGGGATTAAATTTCTCCAGATCATGAGGTTAATAAATAAGATGCAATTACCACCTTTATGACACAGCTCTACTGTGGGCCTTACACATATTTAAGTGTTCCTTAGCTTCTGAAAAACTGCAGGCCTTGTCCTCCTGGGCATTCCCAGCTATCCTGATGATATCCACCATAAAAATCTGTCCTACTAGGAAGGATTTCCTGAAGCAATTCCATATTATCAGCCATCAAATCACTCCCAGAATTCCTGCTTCTAGGACTGC